CCTGAGGATTTCACGGTAACGATGTTCCCCGGTAGCGTGTCGTTTCCGTAGTGTCATTTTGACAGTACCGAAAAATTGTTTAACCATAAAAGTCACCACACACGAGTTGACTGTACGCGATCAAATCTCTCCTGTGTGATCAACGCGATTTCACTGTGCCTGTATGTGTGTTTGTGGTGTGAGTGTGTTTCTTCTAATTTACTTTCGTTTTGTTTTGTTTTCAGTGTTGGCGGGGCGGAACAGATAACGTTATGTGCGCATGCGGGTTGCTCTTTTAATCCGCAAACTGAGAAATCGCGCGGATGACAGTTTGAGATGCCGGCGAAAAAAAGACACAAAAGTCTACTAATTGTGACATTTCAGAAATTGGAATGCCAGTCTGATTTTTCGTATGAATTGTCCGAAGGACGTATCACTAAACTCACCTGTGACGTATGCACACAACATGACAAATATACGACGTACGATTCCGAGGCAAGTTGGTCATTAGATCTATAGGCTAATCGCTATGAAAAATATTAAACAGTATTGGTTATTCTATAATTTACTGGTTGTAGCATGGTAACTTTAGGAATAAAACATTCATCACAAAGGGTAGTAATGCTAATGTTAACTGTTGGTAGAACTAACAATGACGTGTGGTAGATTCTTTCGTCAAATTGATAGTAGATTACACATGAATCGTTTTGGGATGAGGATGTCAAGCCACATCAATACTTACCTGTATTAATGATTTCCAGTAAATTAATTTTTGCAGTGTGGGACTGGAAAAAATACTCTGATTTTGTGGTATGTGGTCTTCATGATGCCATCTGAGTACAACATATTTTGACCCATTTATTTTATTTTTTTTTAATCAACCTGGAGTACACAGCTGCTGATGTAATGTTCATTGTTCATGCATAGTTTTCAAACATTTACCCTTGAAACATTATACTTTTGAGTTTCAGAATTCTTGATTATGAATATCAGTCAAAATAGAAAAATGGCTTCCCATGATGAACGTTTACGGATCCCAAAATTAGTTAACGTGGTTTCCCATTGGGTAATCCGACGGAACCGAAAAACGGTTACCATGAATTTCTGAAATCCTCAGGCTTGCGACTGAATTATTTAAATTTTTGCAACATTTGTTATTATCATATGCAATTGAATAAGTAGACCATTTCAGAATTCGAAATTTGGGACTCTCTAAATGCATAATGGGACTCATACTTTTCTGATCAGCGAGTCC